CATATGACTAATTTTTCCAAATCACCCAAACCAACAATTATCCACATTATCGAAAACTACCGCCATATCTTCATTACCAAGTACATCACGTAGAAAATTCAAAGATTTTATTATCATTTGCAAACAAAACAACAAGGAAAAAAAAGCAAATCACACATTCAACCATAAATTAGAGCTCTTCATTCCACCATCTTCGAAACCAAAGCTCACGATTTTGATCGTTGTTTGTTCCGCTCAATTAATTCCTTCAAACGAGTTTGAAGGCTGTGTCCAATTCCATTAAGATAGACACCTAGTAAAGTGAGTGTCTGTGTGAAAAAGTGCAGATGTGTATATGAGAGAGAGAGAGAAGAAGAGAGAAAGAGAATCATCATTGTGTTATGTTGTAATGCATCTGCCAGATGTTGTGCTCCGAGATCTCCGATTTGATTCCATGAGAGATCTAGTTTGATGAGTGTCTGTGTGAAAAAGTGCAGGTGTGTATATGAGAGAGAGAAGAAGAGTCACCGTGTTATTCGATTATGCATGATTGACTAGGAATGAAATAGTTTTTTTTAATCGTGCCTCTAGATAGTATGAGTGTCGAGTAAATAGGATCCTCTATATAATGTATTTTGTGATTGGCCGCAGATATGTCCAATGGATTAAAAAGAAAGAGAGAAAGAAGTCGTTGTTTGGACAAGTGTAATAGAAGCCTGACGCGTATGGGTGAGGCAGACGGGTAGTTATACAGAATTGGGGTTGAAATAGTAATAGCTGAAAAATATTGCTTATTCTTATGTAAAATGCTGCTATCATTTTGTTTTGTATATCATGTGTTGTGATGGATGTAGTTATTCATGATAGAAAAAAAAGATGTTGTCAATGTTGTAGTTCTTATTAATCGTTTGGAGATTTATTTTCGTAGAAGAATGATGATAGAGGAAGGTGAGAAGTCTTTTTTGGCTTGTAGAAATGGCGATTCGATTTTGTTTTATATGAAAATTGTTCAGGATTTTTTAAATTCTTATTATGAAAATGATAGCGTATATTAGGAGAAACATTGAAGTTTCTGTGATGTGTTAGTAATATTTCATGTTTAGGTAATCATTTTTAATTTTTGAAAAACACGTAAGTTTAGAATCAGCTACTAGGAAATTGATCTTGTGTTTTTCATGTCCGACAGGAAAAAGTCTCAATTTGCATTAGTCTGAGTAAAAACATGGTTTTTGTATCTCTTCAATATGATAGTGATAGATATTGACTGAGTCTTCCTTTGAAAAACAGTTGTGATAAGTACACTTCGATATCGATTTGAATAGGAGGTTGGGTTATGAAAAACGTGAAAAATCTAAGAAGACTGAATGAATACTGTACTTGTTAAAGAACCCTTGAGAAACTAACTACGAAAAAGGATGGCCGAATCTTCAAGTGGAAAACTGAAATAAGTTATACAGGTATGAAATAAAAAAAAGAATAATAGTTCAGATAAGACAGCCCTATGATGGAGGCAATTACTATAATTTCAATATTTTTCAAATAGGTTCTTGAATGCTCTGGTAGTTGGTGTTGTACTATCCCGGTAAGAATGTTTTAGCATGATAAATTTTCACAAGAAGAAAACTAAAGATATTTTAACCTTGAATCCTATGAATATATGAGAAAAAGAATTGATATTTGTTAACCATCTCGAGATATTTCAGAACTTTCAGCCTATTAGTTGTTTTGTGCATTTATTGAAGTTATTACGTTTGAGATAAGATTTATGAGGTAATTATGGCATCAATGAATTTTCACTGGTCTGATTTTCATCGATTCAGGTCTTCGATGAAATTTCGATCTTTGAAATATTAGTTAAACCCCTATTTTCGTGATCATTTATACAAAACTTTGATAAGTAATTATATTCTATAGAGTTTACTTTTTAGTGTAGTTTTTGTTTTGTAAAGAAACAATGCTCGTTTCATATGTATGAATAAATCAAATATAGAAAAAGATGACTAGAATGGGAAAAGAGTGATATCTTTCATACTATAGTAGTGAGAGTTGAATCGACTCGAATCCGAATTGATAATTCTAAAAATTAAGAGAATCGAATAGATTCGAATAAATAGAGATTCGATTATTCTTTTCGTTTACTGGATTACAAACCAATGGTAAAAATCAGAAGAGATTGAAGTATATTCAAGCAAAGGTTAACAAGTAAGGAGGCATCTATGAAGAACGTTCAGTAACAAAGGGGAGAGAGGCGGGCAAAAGCTTGACAAGAGTGTACAAGGAAGGGAGTCCGGCACATCAGCTTTCAAATTTTTATTTTATGTCTTTAGATTTTGGTTAAAAGTGTCGCTTTTGTAAGTACAAGGTATCGAAGCGTATTCCATTAGTTTAATCTGAAATCTAAGAAGATCCTTAATACCATTGCTTACTGACCGCATATTGATTTTGTTTATTCAAGTTCCACCATTATGTGTTTTTGCTGCAAGAATAAATATTTCCTCCACCACAATCAATTTGATTTATTGAACATTATGAATTATGGACAGCTAGTGAATTTGTTGAAGAATGAAAACTTTCTGATGATCAGAGTCACAAACTAAAACGTTTTTCTTTATTTTTCATCTTTATGTGTTTGTCTGCTATAGATAAAGTTTTTTCTGCGATTACATATGATTTAACCCTTTGACGACTGACTTATTTTTAAGAGCAAATACAGTAGAAACCTATTGTTAACATGGTATACTTTGGAAATTATTAACAGTTATAATTCTTGCACTTACGAGGGAAGGGCCCCAACTGTCAAATTGCTTTGGAGTCGGAACTATGTGCATCATGTAGGTCCTAATGAGCTATGAATATCCTGAAAAGAGTTCGGGCCGCTAGCTTATTACTGTCGAGATACTGCATTATTACAATATTTTTAAGCAAAATGCCGTGGTCCTCCTCAGGAACATCAGCAAAACTGAGTTTTGAATTTCGACTTGAAATTTGGCACAGAAACAGATCTCAATGAGAGTAGCTTATTGTGAAAGTTTCAGATCTTTTGGTTGTTCCCATTCTGAAATAAGAATATTGGAACCCGTCGGAGGTATACGAGCAGTGTAAAAACACCTTTTTTTAGCTGTATCTTAGGATAGGAACAACCAAAACACCTGAAACTTTCACAATAAACTACTCTCACTGAGGCCTGTTTCTGTGCAAAGTTTCAAGTCAAAACTCGTAACTCAGTTTTTCTGATTCCTGAGGGGGACCACAGCCTTGTGCTTAATTAAAAATACCACAAAAATGCAGTATCTCGACAATAATAAGCTAGCGGCCCGAACTCTTTTCAGGGTATTCATAGCTCATTAGGACCTACATGATGCACATAGTTCTGACTCCAAAGCAATTTGACAGTGGGGGCCCTTCCCTCGTTAGACTTGATGTAAAGATGCAATGCTGTTCTCGGTAGCATCTATTTCAGAACACGATAAATGTTGAAAAGACCTCTTTGACTATATTTCAGCTTCGTCTTCTATTTAAATTTGGGGACCATAAATTTACGGACTTCGTCACCAAATGGTTAATAGTGATTTTAATTGAAATTTCTGATCAAAGAGTAAAACAAACGACTGGTGATAGAATTATGTCATTCCATTTTTTTCGCTTATTTTATACTACTTCCTTGAAAAGAAAAATTTTACCAAACTCCCAGGAGAAGGGATCTATCGAAACCAAATGGGGGAGGGATCCAAAATGGCCCATTTTTACGCGACAATCTTTATGGATGTTCCCTAAAAACAAAAAGATAAAGAATCTGTTTGTTAGCAAAGAAAAATAGAATAAAATTTCAATAAATATCTTAGAGTTTCATTCTGACTGACAGATCTCATTATTCTGTTTGGTACACACACTCTGAATAATAGTTGAGTTCGAAAAATTGGAAGAAAAAAAGATTGAACTAGAGAGTATTGATGTGTAGTTGCACTAAGTAAATTTACGGGTGGGGTGTGGGTGTGGGTGCGGGTGTGGGGTGTGGGTGTGCGGGTGTGGGTGTGGGTGTGGGTGTGTGGGTGTGGGTGGGTGTGTGGGTGGGTGTGGGTGTGGGCGGTGGGTGTGGGTGGGTGTGCGGGTGTGGGTGGGTGTGGGTGTGGGCGGTGGGTGTGGGTCTTAATCTTCTCTTCAGCCACACCCACACCCGCTTCCACACCCGCTTCCACACCCACACCCACACCCACACACCCACACCCACACCCACACCCACACCCACCCCACACCCTGTCTAGCGTATGTTCTTCTTGAATATATTTGAGACTTCTTTCAAATTTTCTTTCTCTCCATTTCATTGTAACTTTCAGCATAAAAGTAAAGAAAAAAAACATAAATGCACATCTTGGAAGAGAAGAGAGTAAATCGACGAAATAGAGAAGAAAGCCATTGGTAAAAAAAAATGTCAACATTATGATTTTGTTATTCTTATACAAGATAAATACCAAATATGGAATATAGTAGGAGACTAAAAACTAGGTTGCCACAAGTCGTGGCGGGATCAGGCGTGATAGGGATGTGGGTGTAGGTTTAGTTTTGCTCCTCATCCTCATTAGAACACGTACAAGCACATTCATACCCCAAAATTATGTTTAAATTGTTTGGAATGTTTTGTCAGTAATTTAACACATCTCCTTTAAATCATTTTTATTACAACTTGAATAAAATGAAAACCAATTCGAATACTTGTCATTAAGCGAATTTATTGTATGTCGAAAAGAAATAAAATATACTCATTTATTCGATTAACACATAATCAACAATAAATTTGGGATTTCTCGCAGTACATAGATATGTTACTGTGAACATATCTATAATTTCATCGATAATCAATATATATCCTTGAGCATATTAGTAATATTTTGACAAGGAATTTTAAAGTATTCTTGTAATTATTTCTGCAATTCTTCAAAATATTAATAGTGAAAGTCTCATTATGTTCTACAAAGTTAATTCAACTAATTATATTCGATTTAGAACTTGAATTATTTATCTTACTAATAATATTTTTGTGTTTTCTATAAAATAATTTATATAAAAAATTCCTTTTCAAATAATTATCTTCATCATTAACATAAGTTTGTTTTAATGTTTGATTTCCTTCTTGTATTTTAGCAAAATTAATAAATACATCAGCAAGTGTTATTTGTGTAACTCTATAATCCTCAATTATATTTTCTATTTCTTCTCGTGCTTTTTCTAAAACACAACATTTTATACAATAGAACAGTTCTTGATACACGAAAATGTATCATTTTATTATGTTCTTGTTTAGCATCAGTTTCTAGTATTTGTTGTTTTATATAATTAATGACATTTTTCGTATCACTATTAATATCTGATCGAAAAAGTATATTATAACCATGACCAAATCTTTAAACAGAATAAAAGAAAGAAGTTTCTGGAAAAAAATCAAACAATAAATCAAACTTTTACTTTGTTTTTAAATGTTGTACACTGCCGAGACATTTGAATTCTCCACTAACTATAATATATCCAAAAAAAAACAAAAATAAGGATAAAATATTCATACGATTGCATAATGTTTCACATTCTTCCACTGAATAGGATGTTATTACAACTGATTTATGATCTTTACAAGTTAATGCGAATATACAATTCCATAAAAATCTTTTCGCATGTGCATCCATTCCAGTTGTTGGTTTCTAATACTGATTATTTATTATGTTTTAAGGTCCTCCATTCAAATCATCAAGGTTCATCAGAAAAACGAAGTTTAACATGAACGCATTATCGAATACTTTGAAATGTGTACCTTAAGAATCAATATGATTTTGAGTTTTCTTTTTCTTTAAAAAAAGTGGATTTTCGACCTAAGCAGTTGATTCTCGCTTCAAAAATAATCATTTGTTTTTGGATATTGTAGGTTTTGTTTAAAAACCATTATTTTTCGCAAAAAAAATCATCTCTTGAAGACTAGAGATAGTCACAATAGTCTGCACTTTATACTATCCAGATCAGATTATGGTGTGGGTGTGTGGGTGGGGATATAGTGAAAACCTACATCCACATCCCCACTCATCCTAACTAAACATGAACAGTCAAAATAAACTGGATTAAGGACAGAAACACCCATTAGTGCTGATGAACTTCTGAGAAGACCGGGAATTAGTCAATGGTGTCGCTAAGTTTTGATCCGCGTAATCAATATTATTTTCTTAAATATTTCATTAATAGAAAAGTCTAATATCAACAGTATATATACTAGTAGATGCGTTTATTTGTTATATACGAGCATTTGATTTTTTAAACTCTTATTTATTAGAACAATACAAAAATTTTAATATATCATAGAAAATTTTGAATTACAATTCTATTCAAAAGTTGCACGATGCGTGGAAGTCTGTTTGAAGTAAATTGATTTTCAGGAAATTGTTTATCAAAACTATAACTTCGAAAAATATGATCACAAGCATCATCTCAAGATCGATCGACTACCCAAGAATTGAGTTATAGGTCAAACACTATTCTGAATATGATTAACTTCAGTCTTATTATTCAACAGTTTTTTGCTGAGCTCATCGATCATATTGAAGTTCGTTGCTGCTCTAATCTCCAATATAGGTTTCGAGATTAGCAGAGCTTTTTGACACCTGGCGACTTTTCAATAAAATCTATGTCATGCGAGAAGCGATGAACTTGAATGTGATCGGTGAGTCCAGCAAAAAACTGTTAAACAATAAGACTGAAGTTAACCATACTTCGAACAGTGTTTGACCTGTAACTCAACTCTTGGGCAGTCGATCGACCTTGAGATGATGCTTATGATCATATTTTTCGAAGTTATAGTTTTGATAAACAACTTCCTGAATATCAATTTACTTCAAACGGACTTCCACATATCGTGCAACTTTTGAGTAGAATTGTAATTCAAAATTTTCTATGATATGTTAAGATTTTTGTATTGTTCTAACACATAAGAGTCTAAAGGATCAAATTCTCGTGTATGACAAATAAATGCATCTAATAATACATATATATTGTTAATATCAGACTTTTCCATTAATAAAATATTCAAGAAAATAATATTGGTTATGCGGATCGACACTTAGTGAACACCTTATATTCATAAAGTTAAAAAACAATCACAAGGATTGAATAAAAAACGATGGTGATATATCTACTATTATGTGGCACATTAAATCTACGCAAAAAGTATTTCAGAAAATTGTTTTACGTTTTCTCAAAACGTGAGTTCAATGATGCGTCTCCAACGGCATTCTGTTACATAAGGAGATAAAGTCAAATATTTTTTTTGTCAAAAAGCTGACATTAAAAGCCAATAAGTCTCGTAGCCTTTCTTCCGAAAAAAATTTTGATAGAAAAAAGACCACGAGAGCCACTAGTACCAAGTGTCTTCTGTAAAATATAAAAAACAATTAACTGTTTCAGTGATGGTGACCGAATACCTTATGAGATCGGAGCAAAGTCCCAAATTGAGTGCTGTGTATAGACCAAAATTGTTATAGCTACAACAAATAACGAGATACGCAGCTAAAAATTTTTTTTGCGTACATAACTTGGCACCTCGTCATGTGCATAAAATTTCAGCCTAATAGCAAGCATATCATAGCATGAAGATCCTGTGCTGAAGGAAGAGAATGAGCTTAAGGGGACACCCTCCTTTCTCGACTCGAAATTTTTAGTTTTTTCGTTTTTCATTTTTTGTGTTCAGTATGTGAGTTTAAATGCCCTCTATCTAATGAGCACATTTTAAGAAGGCAAAACCACCTTTCTGAATGTGAAAAACTCAATTTTATGCTAAAAACGCCAAAAAATGCAATTTTCTTTTCGTTTTTCTCAAAACCTGATTTTTAAACAAAAAATTGAAGTTTCCCCCCTTTTCTCTTAAACAGTAAGACCGATTGAGCTCAAACTTCTTTTATGACTACTTCGATGAAATCGGAGTGCGTTTTTTTTCTCTTGAAAATATTGTAGCTATCAAATTTGGCAGGTATTTACAAAATTAGCACCCTCCGAAAAAAAGCTTTTCTTTAATGGAGTGTGGGCGACTGGTGTGGGTGTGAGTGGGATGAGGATGGGCGTGTGGGTATGAATGAATGGAAGACTAACACCCACGGACACACAGCCACACTCCACACCCACCTACATCCACCCACATCCTCATTGGCAATACGAATTCTTCGTATGATTTTGGATTAATGGCTCAAGCTGATATTGACTAATCAGTAGACAGTGCTAATGTCTCAAATAATAATTTGATTTTTGTTCAAACAACTCAACGCACAATATATGAGCTCAGAAATTTAGTTATAATATACAAAAAGGTCGATGTAAGCAATTTAGTTAGTCTGCTGTTTGTGAATAATTGATCTTAGATATTGAATTTTAATGAAAATTGTGTCGAGTCTATCTTTATTTTTGATTGTTTAATATTTAGTCTTGCTAATGAAAGTGGAAATGATGGTACGTGGTTGACTGTATTTGGTTTTTGTACGAATGCTGATGCTCAAATCTTGATCGATGAATTTAGTCTCTTTGGAGTGATAGAAAAATATGTGGTATGACTAATTGATATCTGTTTTATTTATTGGTTATTCATTCAGATTGTCGATGAATCGAATATATTTCATATAAAATTTGAAACTCATCTTCAAGCTCAATGTGCTCTAAAAAAACGTGGTCATGTTTTTAGTCAGATAATTATTGGTGTACGACATTGTACTGACAGAGTAAATCATTAATTATTTTATTTTCTAATATATTATGTTACATTTTAGGATGTGATTGCACTCAAACCACAAAGTAATGCTAATGTTTATATTGAAAATTCATTTCTTACACGACATCGATATCGTCCAGGCATTTTGTCGGTATAAATATAGAAATTTTTTCATTTTTCGTTTTTTGAACTTAATTTGATTTTTATTTTTTATTAGTCAGCACCACTTACAGTTCAAAATTGATTCTAATTCTTACTTGTATAGATCATTGTCAATCATCAATAGAATTTACACCATTTCTCAGCTTTATTATTATTTTTTGGTTATGTTTGTTTAATATTCATTTGTTCGAAGAGTGTAGATTATATTTTCTTATTTGTCTGCCTATATTTGTTCTTATTTCTTTCTAGAATTTAAATGACATCATCAATTAAATAAATCATATATATATATATATATGAATATTCAAAGAACAAGTTTTGTTTTTTTTAATTAAATAAATTGAATACGATTAAATCAATAAATACGAAGGTAAATGAATATGAAAGTGCTGAATACTTCCAATCGTTAAATAGAAATTAGAAAAAGTATCTTTTCTATATTCAATTGTTTGAATAACAGGAATATGTTGTCACTAATAGTAAAGATTGAGATAATAAATACGATTGAGAAATCTAAGCAAAATAATCATCTGTCGACTTGACTTGATTTATCGTTTGAAAAAGATCTGACTTACTTAACTCTGTCTATGGAATTATAATTGGTAAAAATCGAATTACTGTCGGCATTCACTGACTCTTCCAACGTCTATAAGCAATTAGTGTCAGTCGAAAAGTTTCGTATATCGAAAGACAACATATATGAAGCAGATCGGACTTTGAGTCAGCATTGTATATTATCAAAGAACCCATTGTAACAGCAATCTCCTTTATTTTTTATCGTCTTCTTTTATTTCAAGCCGAACAGATGATCTTATTTTTAAAGACTATTTGACAGAATCGAATAGTCTCAACTAAAA